TGGCCTGGGTGACAGCAAGGGGGGGGGGGGCTTAGCCCCGGGAACAAGCTCCCCCCCACCTTCAGGGAAGCCTTTGGGACCCCCTACCGTGGGCCACCGCATAGCTCGTGGCGTAGAAGTTCATGAGGTCGGTGCTTCCCCCGGTACATGCTTTCGCCAAGGGGGTGACGGCACCCAGCCCCGTGACAGGCGAGCCCTGCGGCAGGGACCGCAGCTTAGCACGGAGACAGACAAACGGACAGGCAGACGCCATGGTAGTCCCAGAGCAGCTCCCTGCCTGTCCCGAGAGCCTGGAGGCAGGGGTGGCCATGGAATGTCCCTGCAGAAGCAGATGTTGGGATGGTGACGCTGTCTCCCGGTAACCAGTGCAGTGACACATGGGGACCTCGGCCACAGAGGGACCATCACCGCTGCCTGGGGACCGCTGGCCCGGCTGGGACACCCCACAGAGGGCACCGGAGAGCAGGATACCCCATGGGATGCCCCACTCCAACCTCCCGCGGAGGGGGCTGCAGCCCCCCAGCTGTGGGGCCACCTCCCACTAAGCGCTTAGAAAAAGGGTTTCAAAGGGACAGGTCGGAGTTGGCAGCAGCAGCGAGCAGGCATGTGCCAGCGTGAGCTCGGATTGCCGCTGTCTCCCCCGAGCGCCTGCTCCCAACGCCACCGAAGAGCAGAGCCCTGTGCACACAACGCAGCAGGAGAGAGGCAGCAGGGCTAGCAGCCATGGCTTTATTCATCGTGCCCTGAGAGTCCAAGGGAGCCGCTGCCGGAGGAGGAGAGCCGCAGGGAGGGCAGCAGCATTGGTGTTTCCACAGGGCCCCGTGCCCCTGCTCTGCTCCAGGGGATGGGGAGGGAGAATGTGTCCCCCCTGTCAGCGGGGTGGCTCAAAGAGGTACTCCAGGTCTGGCTGCCGCAGCCTCTGCTCCCTCTTCTTGTTCTTGGCAAACTCTCTGAGCATGGCCATCACGTCGTTCTCAAATTCAGCTGGTGTAGGCTTCGCTTCTGCGGTAAATTAAACAGAAAGGGGCAGCAAGAGAATGGCTTTGTCCTGTCCCAGAACCATACTCACCCCCCCAAGCCCAGGTCCCACAGACCGGAGCAACGGCGCTGCCTTGGCCAGTGCCCCGATGTCAGAGCAGGCAGGACAACGGGCAGCTGCACCGTACCTGTAGCCCAGTAGTAAATGTCCCAGTCATTGCTGGGCTCGTTGATGAGCCGGTCGTAGAGGTTCAGCTGCTGCTCACTCATGCGGTTCAGGTTCTCCTTCGCAAAGAGGCTGGAGAGAGGACGTGTGAGGGTGAGGGCAGGCGACCAGAGGAAGAGCTGGGTTGGCATGCTGCTCCCAACCGTGGCTGGCACCCAGCTCTCTACACAATGCCAGAAGACATGGAGGAGCTGGGTCGAAAGTGACCTGCGTCCTGCCTCCAGCCCCAGCCTGCTCTCCGTTAACCACTACTTCAGTCCCAAAACCCAATGGGCCTTGCCTCGTTCATACATCCCAGAAATTACATACATCCTTCCCAAAGGATTTTGGCTCAGCCATCACCTAGAAGCTTTCTAGAGCTCTCGCGTGCCTGCAGCTGCCTCTGGCTCTGCCTCGTCCCGCCCAGCAGCAGCACTGATCATTGCATCTCAGACCCAGGCAGGCGTAGCTCTTGTGGTGGTTTATCCAACAGCTCAGCCTTTTACCTGCCTTCTATCCTTCAAGCAACATCACATCTCCTCAGGTTTTGGATTACAGCTGTGCACTACCCCACCAAACTCTTTCCTGCAATACTCAGGGCTCTTCCCTGTTAATTAAAAACCTGTAACATCTTCAGGGAGCTGAACTACATGGCAGCTACGCTCACCTCGACTGGCCTTTCTCCTTTAGCTCTCTAGGGCTGATGTTATCTCTCCTGTAAAGTACACCCCATCCCTGCCTGCTCCTGTCTGCAGGAAACAAATTGTCAGGGCGCTGTGGGGAAGTGGACAAGCTGCGGAAGGTGGCTGAGAAGCCGGGAGGGAGGACAGGCACCCGGCACCTCACCTGAGCAGGATGCAGTTCTCCAGCATCCCCCTCTTTCGGCTCTCGTACAGCAGCCGGGCTCTCTTGGTCTCCAGTGGCTCGTCGGGACGCTCCTGCCAGGGGGGTAAGGGGATCTCCAGCACATCCTTCCCCGAGTCGGTCGGGGAGTCCCCATGGTAGCCACGCTGCAGGCACACCGGCCCCAAAACATGCCGGCACAGAGCCCGCCCGGGCAGGGCGCAGAGCTGTGAAAGGGACATGGACGGTGCAGGGGACATCAGGCCTGGCTGCCCCAGCGGGGACGGGGGGTCCTCAGCACACACGGCCCTC